ACAGCAGCTGAAATCTGCAAAGAGACTCAAGTATTCCCAAAGCGAAATCTGTTGACCCATCACAGCCGACTATTTCTAGACATGCAAATTATTATGCCGCGTGTTGATAAATTGACTCTTTTCTCAACGAATTGCTTGTATTCTTTGTCCACCCCCTTTATCCAGTGAATAGTCGTAGTGGAATCTGTCCAGCAAAAATATTTCAGTAATCTTGACCAATGGAAGTAGGGCTGAACGGACTCGGGTAATCAACCTGGATAGTACGAGTGACCGAGTGACGCTGAGAGCTCAGTCCTGGAAATGGTTTGCTTGGAAAGCGGTACGACTCGTAACTTACTCATCAACAAATAAACGTATACTCCTTGACTCGTTTCCACTCTGAGATATACAGCTGCCGCGTACGCTACTTCCGAACCGTCTCCGAAGCCGTGTAGTTGAAGCGAAATTACGCTCTCCTCTGGACGAAAACATCGTTGGATAGGGATAAATTCAGTTTTGACAGATCAGATAACCATTGCGAGTACCTTAAAGAAACTTCCTCATCGAGAGTCGTCCCAGCCAATTTATATTTATATTTGTATAAATCCTGAAAGAGTCTCTCGATTGGGACGAAGAGAGGTGAAATCAAACCAAGGGGATCCTACAACTTGGCCACAACCTTGAGTACAGTACGCTTGTTTATGAGTAGTTCTCTAGCAAATTCCACCAGCCGGTCAAATCAGAAAACGAAGGTGTATCTGTCAATGTTCCAATGTAATCCGAGAATTTTCTTCTCGCTTGAAACGGATTTGGAACAACTTTGGACTCCACACTGAGTCTGTGTTTAGGTACTGTCTTCTTCGGATAGCTTAACCACTTCTTTAGCAGGTACTACTCCTTCGTCAATCCATTCCATGAGCCTCTTAGAACTTGAAATCCACTTCCTTAAATTGAATCCAGCTTCCTTGATTCTTGATCTTGCTTTTTTGTAGAGCTTAAATGCTTCAGGGATGCTGTCTTTCCCCCATTGAAGTCATCCAAGTAGAGAGAGGTCAGAAAATCGGTCACGAACTGGGGATCATTAGCTTCATACTTGGTCACGTGATGTCTGATTGTTGCGTTCATCAGAAAGGGAGAACTTGTAACGCCAAATACAACTCGGTTGAAACGTTTCACGACAATGTTTGGGTTTACACCCTCAGTATCATCTATTCAAAGAAAGCACAAAATATCTCGGTCAGCTTCTTTGATCTGGACCCTTATGAAAGCTTTTTCAATGTCGGGTGCCAAAGCAACTGGGTGGTACCTGAAACGCATTAGTACATCGGATATTTCAGAAAGCAATGATGGACCTGCATGAAGGCAGTCGCTGGACTAGTAGACTTGGCGGATGCATCATAGACTATCCATACGTTAGTCGTCTGTTTATCTTCGCGCACAAATGGATGATACGGTAAATAATGTACGCGACCACCTTCGACTGGTATGTCAGGGTCGACATCGGAGATTATTCCTCGCGAAGATTACTCTTCAATGATGCAGTTATACTCTTCAAACAATCCAGGATTCTTTCTTAGACGAAAACAAGCGAGAATTTGGAAAATTTTCCACGACTGTTCAATCGTTTTGCACGGCCTTACTTGATCCGACTAAAATGAGTTTTAAGGTAATATTTTCCGAAACCTTTGCAATCGTTCATCTTTGTCTTGTTTATACTTATTCATCCCGTACTGATAATTCGTGCTTCCAAGTTGCGCAAGACTTTCTAACACTATCCCAAGTGGGAACTGACAATTTCTCTAGCCCGTGGCTTGCGTACTTTTGCGAACTCAAAACATCGGTCATTTTTGTTACTGCTAATGCCATTGCTTCGAGTACTTCGTGTTTAAACAGCGGCTTTTCAGTCGCGAATGATTTTTGATAATTAACGAACTGTTCTGCGCATTTTAGAAAATTAGCTTTGGCTTCGTCACCGATTACTTGATTCTTTGTTTGTGATTCTGGTAAAGTTTCCGCACAGCCCCATACCATTGTAAAACAAATCTGTTTTCCCAATGGAAATGTATTGTTTTTATCATTGTTTTCTCTGTTCAAGAACTCAATGTATAATGTAGGATGGGTAATTCTATGGTAATTCTACTTTAGGAGGCATTATATATTACTAACTTCGGTAAAATTTCCGCACCGCCCCATACTATTGTAAAACAAATCTGTTTTTCCAATGGCAAACTATTGTTTTTGTCATTGTTTTCTCTATCCAAGAACTGAATGCATAATGTAGTATGGGGCTGTGCGGAAATTTTACCCTAACTTCAGATAATAAATATAAATTCCCGTTACTAGCGTAAAAGTTTGCTTACACATTTCCTAAACCATGGCATTGATGTTTCTCGGGTTTCTTCAAATAGAAAGGTATCTCTTGAATGTAAACAGTTTAACTACGCGAATATTCGGTCAGTTGTTGAAAAGAGTAAGGTCTTTACGATAACATCGTAAGTGATAACTGAATTCTTTAACTCCTGAACTTGAACATGGAAAACGAGGTCGGCGGTAAATAAGGAATTGTTTTACCTTTCAGTTGTCAGATTTACCCATTTGGCAGGCTTCTGTCGGCTTGTGTGTTTCTGAAGTCTTGAGATTTCAAATGCCTTTTCGTCGAGCCTTTTGACTTACGACTTGTTCTCTTGGCGGTCCGTGGGCCGTTGACTTCAGGCTGGCTATTCGTCGGCGTATGCTCTTCCCTTCTCGGCGAGAGCAAAACTTTTGACTGATTCGAACTCGTGGTCGAAGGTGAAGAGCTAGAAGACCAGGCGTCGTAACAGGAAACAGAGGAGTTTAATGTTTGCACATTATATTAGCAAAAAGTAGAAAATTCTGGTCCGCTCTTCTCTTGGTAATGTTCGCGTTGATTACACAAATATTTTAGTTACATACCAAAGGGCGTATTTAAATGTTCTGCCGGAATCCTCTCGGGATTTGTCCAGTCCTCGCACAAATAAGTTATTAATTGGGCAAATCACTTGTTACTTGCTTTGCCCAGTAATTTTCTCACCTTTTTCACAATTTTTACCCGTAAACCCAGGTTTGCATTTGCATTCGTAGCTGCCCTGTGTGTTTAAAGTTATAATTTAACTCCTGTGTGGAGTTAAAGTTATACACTCGTTGATATCTAGCCAGGATGGAAAACATCAAAGTTAAAATTTCTAAGC